GTTACAAGTGAGATAGTTGCAATAGTAGTTTTTATTTAAAAACCAGATATAACAAAACCAACATTAATAAAACATGTGATTGAAATTTCTTCCATTTGTTTTGATTTTCTGATTATAAACTGGTTGATTTTTTGTCACCAGCCTAGCAGCCTATAAGACCCAAGTTATTTTTTTTTATTTCAAATTAATTTTTCGTGGTATTTTTTAGCTTATTTTAATGTAGGCCTATAAATGGATTCTGTTTTAAAGTGTTTGAATTTAAATTGCTAAAGTGTTTTTTTTATGTTAGGTAATAGTTTAGTATGAAATAAATGAATCTTCCAAATTTAATCAAAATATATTCATAAACAAGCACACTGAAACAGCTATTCTCCATTAGCATTTATCATATTCATTATAGTACAAAATTCATTATATAGGAATTTTATATTTACATTTTTTTGTAATTTTCTCCGCAACCATTAGATGCATTACGGCGCTTCATACTAAACTATTTGTTTTTTTGAGCTCTAGATTACCCCATTTAAAAAAATCAAATTATGACCTTATGAAAATAGACCTCTGTTTTGCAGAAATTTTATTTTGTTAGTCATTACATTGCAGCATTTGGAAATACTGTACCTCGTATGCATGGCTATGCATTACAGTTTTACAAATACATATGTGTGGACCTATTTGTTGAACACTTTGTCTTCTTCCAACTTATTTCGAACAGGACGTGTAATTTAGTTTTAGAATTTAGTATCCGCCGCGTCCGCTTGCTTAGCGATTTTTTAGAATATCGCGGCGGGAGTTTTGTCTATCTCGAATGGCCTATTAAAAGTAATTTAAAAGTAAAAAAAAAACTCTTGGTCCTAGTATTCTAAAACGTTTTTATTAGCTCGCTTCCTCGTCTGTTCGGTACAAATTTTGCAATCGATTTCAAGCAACCTCTCGATGAGCTAGATACTTGAGACTTGAATCATAGCTCACAAATCTATAACAATGCAATAATTAAATCATTTTATTTTCATATTTCCCTTGGGCTACTCCCCATTGGCTTCCAAATGGTTAATGTTTACATTTTGAAAAATGTAAATATATCAATTGAATTCAGTTAGTTCAAAGAGCAGAGGTTAAGAGGTACAGGTTCTGATCTCGAGAGATTCTAGTTTTATGATTATTAGAATAGTAGCATAGACAGTAGCAACAACATCTGTTTACAATTAATTAAACATACCTACACATTGAAGACTAAAAAGTATATCGTATTTTTTTATAAACAAAAAAGCGTTTTAAAATTCCACGTTTTTAAACACACTAAGAATGTATTAAATAAATAAATCTATACTAATATATAAAAATGAGATGGTGTGTGTTTGTGTATGTGTCTGTCTGTTACTTAATAACGTAAGAATCACTGAACCGATTGCAATAAAATTTTGTATGAAGGTAGCGTATAACTAGTTAACGTATAGGCCAATTCCTGTTATTATATTTCCTTTGGGCTACGCCCCATGGGCTTCCAAAGTTTCAATGTTTACATTCTGGAAGAATGTAAATAGTAAAAAATATTAATTGAAGTCAGCTGTAAATACTATAATTTGACATTAATCAGGGCATAAATTTCATTAATTTAAATATAAGTCAACAACATAATACATAACAGTTATTATTTTTAATCGTTCCATAGTTCAAAACGTGTATGTATTTGCATTAATTTACATAGCTTTTAAAACATTGAGTAAATAAACATAGTTACGTGGAGTGAATAAATACTTGTAGGATTTAAAACGAAACATTGGGCGCATGCAATAGATAACTAGTGTACATGTTGCTCGAAATCGAGCAATTGCAAAGAAGTATAGGATTTATTTATAAACAAATAACTTGTTTAGAAACTAATAACAGTCATAATTTCCGATGATTTTAAAAGAGTGAACTAAATAGGTAGTTTTTAGTAGTCAACTAATGGAAATACTCACAATTTACATAACAATCCTATTCCAGTTTAAAGAGTTAATTTATAACAATCAACCTGCCCATGGACGGGAAAAGGTAAGCTTACAATTTAAGTTTACGTAAAAAGGCTGTCAAATTTTATAAAGTACCGCACCTAAGCTATTTAGCCAATTTGTAGACAATAAGGTGTATGCTACTTTAAACTCTACTAAAAAACTGGCAGAACTCTGAAATGATGTTATTTATCACATGCTTACTCATATGCCAAATCCTTAAAATAAAAATTTTATAATTTATATCATTAAACACAAACTAACATCAAAAACTATACACATCTTTAATACAACATAGATAATTTACACATTGACTGTTTACAATTAACATGTGTTCTTCCTCTCACTTTTAATTTTGCTTCGCAACAGGAAAAATCTGTTTCATAATCATTGAAAATAGATTCATAATAAATAGTCTATCATAAAGTCTAAGATTAAATAAACCTATCACATAGTGGTTTTATTTTTCTGGATCAGCTGTCTGAAATTATAAAATAGGCATTTTTGACAGTTCTGGTTATTCACATTTAAATGTCAAAGCAAATGTAAACATGGTGAATTTTCTCATGCTTCCATGGAGACTCAATAGACTCAATAAGACTCAATAAGAATTTATTAATGCTATTAAACTTAGACCATTTATTAATAATTAAATTCTGACAACAGCTGGAGTTTCAAAACAATGTTTGTTTCCCATGTTAATCTTATGGAGAAATACGAAACTTTGAAAGGCCCCAGGGCCTCACTCTCTAATTATTTACCTAAAAAGAAAGTTTCCTGCACAACTTCACGTTACGCTCTTTCCAATGACACCAAAAACATGTCAATCGGTTTAGTAGTTTCGGAGGAGTAATTGTCACAAAAATCCTGCTTGCGTATTAAATAAATATATATATATATAGATATAGATATATAGATATATAGATATAGATACAATATGTTAAGATAGTAATTTCAATTGCTTGAGGATATATACTATAGTTATCGAGTTGCGACTCCTAAGACTACTTCTTATGTTAGCATTTATTTAAAAATCGTTTTAAATAAATGCTAACATAAGACATTGTTACATAATTGTATTTTACAAGTTATATTTTTTTAGAAGACAATGTTTACATAGACGCAGATGCGTCATGGCGACATGGATAATTCTACAAGTTTAAGTGTACACTTGATTTATCCGGTTCGGTAACGAGCTGTCAAAACTATCAAAACATAGTCAGGTAGTCCACGCGGCGCTCGGGCCACCCGGCGCTCGCGCCACGTAACCTTCTAAGCGGCTGACCTATATTGCCATATTCTGTTGAAGTAAAAACTATTTTTTCTGAATTCGTGGTTGAAGCTTTATTTTTGTTTTTATGTTTATGTATTAGTTTATCGACCATATGACTTATATTGCCGTTAGAGACGGCGATGAACTCGATGGTATTTATTTCTTCATTGTAGTCGTTACCGTTCATAGGAATAGATAGCAATCGGCTTACGAAACTGTGGTATGCTGCTATGTTATGACTTTGAGGATGATGTGAGTCCAGAGTTGATGTGAATTTTCTGGGATGATGTGGTCGGGTTTCTGTATATTTTAAATTGTAATTTATCCGCTGATCTATAAATTGTGACGTCCAAAAAAGTGAATGACTTGTTGTTATCTTCAACAACTAGTTTTGACTCTAAGGTCATAATCATGTTGTTATATTGAACAAATACAATAACAGATAAAGAAAACAAATAAAATATAACTATATGTTGATTTAACTTAATTAATTTAATTTAACTTAATTTAGAGAACCTTGATTTCTTCTTTGTTAAAATTGTGTATTATATAATGGCATATTTCTATTTTAGTGTAATTGAAGGATTTTTACGAGTTTTTAGCGAATTTCCCATATAGGGAATAAGCTATTACCGTAGTACTCATGGTAAGACCTAGACCCGGGACCGATTTAATTTTTCATTTTGAGGTCCCTAGAGGCCAAAAACACCATCCGTTCAAATTCACACACACACACACACATATATATATACACATATATATATATACATATATATATGTACATATATATATATACATATATATATGTGTGTGTGTGTGTGTGTGTCCGTTAGCGCGATAACTCGAGCAAAATGATCCGATTTTGATGAAATTTGGTACAAAAGTGTATACCTACGTTTATTCGAACGAGTTCGTGATCCAGCATTATCGGACCATGGGAAGGGGGATTAATGGGGGGGGGGGTTTATGGGGTAAAATTCGGGTTTTACCACTTTTAGCTCTAAAAACAAAAGAAAATAGCAATTTCTTTTTAAACCGTTTTGAAGAGCTTAAAAAAAGAAATTATTTAGTACATAGAAGCGCTGTTGTATGCCTAATGGTCACGGAGAAAATTAAAAAATAGTGTAATTTAAAATTCCCATGTTATTATGGAGAAAATACAAATTGTTGTAGCTTACTTGTTTATGGGTATATATTGATAAAATTTAGCAAATTTATTTAATTCATCCTATACTATTGACTATGGTCAAAAAACACTTTTTACCTTCCCCGTAGTATCAAACCTAAGCACTCGTTAAAGCTAATGTTATTTAAATAGGGAATAAATATGTCTTATTTTTGGAAAGTTCAAATTTGCTTAGTCTGCAGGCTTGCTGCGGTGGGGGTATTAATGCTTAAAATGAATTTAAAAGGGTACTAGAGTTTATAAGGTATTCACCTATATATAATATACTATATGTTGTATGGTAACTATAATGTGTATGTGTCATACACAAACTGATACAGATATACTTACTTATACTCATGAACACAAACTCACAGACGTAAAGAAACATATAAATATTTCAACCAAGTATAAATAAGGTATGTTATCAACTTTATTTTTCCGGAAATTGATAGCCTTCAAATAAACATGAACAAGTACCGAAAACCTTTAGAGAAAAGCTTAAGTTAGTTGACAAACGTACATCCAGAACATACATTTATTAAAGTAAGTTGCAAACATAACTTACGTATCATTTCAGATTGGTGAAGACTCGGTCTGATCTGCACCTGTAACAAGCAAATCATAAAACTCCAGCCAACAAACAAGGGCTATTAAATTGCATTTGAATAAATATTATTCATTGAAAATAACACAAAATTGACCATATAACCAGGACAGAATGAAATATGTTTTTATAATACATGAAAATCAAACCACACTTTTTTGGTTAGTCGGACTTAATCAATTGATTGGATTAAGTCTGATGACAAGGGGAGAAGCGCCATTACGAGCCTTGGTGCTTAACAATTGAGTTATGCAAGTATCTGGTCTAATGGCTGCTGTTACTCTCTCTGCCTACCCACTAGACTTACTTCGTGATCCACTATCACAAAAACCTTTGATAAAACGTTATATCACATTTTAGTAAACATTAAATCTATCTATCTATCTATCCATCTATCTTCTATCTATATATTAATTACGTGAGCCGATTCTTTGCGTCAAAATTGTGGGCAATTGGGAAGTCGTAGAATGATGGGAGAGGGCTCAAATTAAAGGTCTCGATCCCGTGACGGCGGGAAAAATAGTGACATCTCCATAATTTTATCACAAAATGAGATATAACGTAAAATGTTCTCCATAAGAATAGCATTAGAAGCCATTTACTGCAGATTTTTGTTTACTTCAATACAGCTGATCTTGATTTATCATTAGGCCAGTAAGCAATATTACATTTGGATTACTCATTTGCCAGTCAATTCTGCACTGTATGCACTGTATACTATATAAAACCAGTGATAACGTTACCCATAATAATTAAGACGTTTTAGTTACGTCAAAAATAAAATCAATTGTTTTCAAGATTAAAGAAACGATCCCAGATTAAAAAAAGAACGTTTGCTTTTTTTATTTCAAAACATCTGCTTTAATATGTTAAAGATTAATTACAAACTTTTTTGTAAATTTAACAACCTTTATATTTGCGATTTATTGTAGTGCTTAATCAATATTTTGTATGAAGTTGAATAACCTCAAAGACCCCTAGAAAATCAATTTGGGAATAAAGATGAAATAGGTGTTCGAACAGGTATTCGTTCATTAAGTAAGTTTTATGACGAGTTCCAATGGGCGGAAAAAAACAATATTGTTTAGAGGATATTTTAACCAGGTACTGCCTGTTGCTCCAAGAAAAAAAGGTTAAAATAATATAGCCTAGCATGCACGGTAGTATAGGGAGCACCTATATATAACAGTAAAATATATTGGTAATTTCCGTTTCTTAAAACTAACCAAAAATATGCATGTCATGATTGGTTCCGATAACTGGGTAATGGAACCTTAAACAGTCGCGAAATACTGTAGTTAGTGGCCAGACGTTGATTAGGCCCTTTTTTTGATAGGATATGTTAAGTTAAACACACCTTTAGGAGGATTACCACCACATTACTTACACCAAGCTAATACGGTAGTAGTTTTCAATGTTGATCAGAAACAAATTTAGGGTTAAGTTCTGTCAATTGGATGCCTTTACTTTTCACTAATTTTGTTAAACCTTTACCAAATGAGCATAAACATATAAATAATAACTGGGTCGGGGTGCTAATTTAGTGGTATTGGCCAAGAACTAAGCTTATCTCAACACACCTTTTTTTGCCTTTTCATATTTGACTAAGACAATTTTCAATATTTCAATCAGGGAAGTCTTTTTTCATCATCATCCAAAAGAACAAAAAGCTACCTTAGTAAACCAATATTTATTCACAAACATGTTTGCTGCATTAAGCAGAGTTAAACCTCAGGAGTCATTCAAATTATTTATTGAAAATAACATAAACAAAAGCAAACAAAGATAAACAACAAACTGTTTTTAACACAAAAGATATGTTTTACTGGGATATCCATCCTGACACATAGATAATTTGATTCTGAGTTTGTTTAAAGATTACAATAATTTGTTTGACATTAATTTGAGCTTTTTAGGGACTTATGTCCCTACAAGCAACTAGTCAATCTATATATTAATTACGTAAGCCGATTCTTTGCGTCAAAATTGTGGGCGACTGGGAAGTCGTAGAACGACGGGAGAGGGCTCAAATTAAAGGTCTCAACCCCTTGACGGCGGGAAAAATAGTGAATCTGCCAAAATGTTTACACAAAATTAGATATAACGTAAAATGTTCTCCATAAGAATAGCATTATAAGGCATTTACTGCTGATTTTTGCTTACTTCAATACAGCTGATCGTGATTTATCATTAAGCAAGTAAGCAATATTACATTTGGATTACTCATTTGCCAGTCAAAGTCAAAGTCAAATCGTTTATTTCCAAAAGTTAAACAATACAATAAACAGATACAAATTATAAATAAATATATTTTTCCTACAGTCACCCGACAAAGTTGGCTTCCCTGTACTGTTTATAGTACAGAAAGCTGCTAATTGCTGCATATTTATACTTTGCCGTACGGTTTATACTTTTCCGTACGGTTTATACTTTGCCGTACGGTTTATACTTTGCCGCACATCAGGATTCTAACCAAACAACACAAAACAGCGTGGTTTTATTATGCACGTAATCCGTGTACGCTTGGAAATAGGTTGGCAACACTTAAAGATAATAATTCTATGAGCAGCTGATTGACTATTATAACTACGATTTAACCTGTCATTTCGTGTTTATAGTTTCGGTATTTCTGAACTTTCTGGACTTTTCTTTTAAACGTTTTTAAAACATTCCTACGATCTTAATAAACAAGAAAATACCTTTAAAGCATTTTTTTAGGCGCGGAAACCACTTCAAATTACTAAAACATACGGAACTATATTCTCAAAACGCGGAGCACATTTCTTGCCGAGGAAAAATAGCGGAGTGATACGGACTGCGGGTACTACTTTCTCTAGGGCACCATTTGTGTTGCCAGCTGAACCTAAAAAAGTGTTGTATGGTGTTTGAAAGATTAATTATTTATATGCTTTATAGTGACTGTAGGAAAAATATAATGTGTAACACGAGTGAAAAAGGCCTTTGCTGCACTCGAGATCATAAACATTGTAAACATTGCTCTCGTGTACAATTATATGGGGATTTTATCAGCGCTTCCGTAGCCGTCCGGCCAATGCTGGCAAGCCACGTACTCACCTTTCTTTTGTACACCGGGACACTGCTCTCCTCATACTGCAGGATTTGTGGCGGAAGATTGCGATATAAGATATGGGCGATAAAATATGGGTTACTTTTTAGGGAGGTTATATTTAATCTAGGAAATTGGTAACCAAAGTTGATTCTATGTCTTGTGGGATAGTTATGCTGCAAATTGGTAAAAAGGTTGTTTTTTTTACCTAAGAAAGACTAAAAGAGTTTTAACAAATAACTGTCGTATATCATGAACAGAAAAATCTGAGTACAGATCCACTGTTGGATATCTCGATGGTTTGCTTAGGACTGTTTTGATTAATGACCTCTGCGCAACAGCCAGAGGCTCAAGCATAGAGGCCGAGACACCGCCCCACGCCAATATACCATATTGAAGCAAAGACTGCACGTAAGCATAATAAACTGTCCTACAGTAATCCGTGGTCAGAACACCAGCAAGTTGAGAAAATGCATATATGAGCTTTCTAAGTCGTTGTTTGAGATAATGAATGTGGTGAGTCCAACTGAATTTTTGATCAATTATAATTCCTAGATAAGCGTACTTCTCTACCCGCTCTATGACGTCACAAGTACAAGCCGCAGACCGAAAGTCGCCGCAGGTATGAAGAAATAGTTGCCTAGGGCTAGGGTCACTTTCACTCTTAAAAAATATTGGTAAACTTTTTGTTTTATTTATGTTAAGGGTTAACGTGTTTTGGTCTAACCAGCGTTTAATTTTATAAATGTCTGTAGATGCGTGTTCATATGCCTCATCCCACGTGCGGACCCTCCAGGTTCCCCACGTGGTTCACTAAAGAGCTTAAGCTCTTAACTATTGAAAAAAACGTCTTCATAAGATCTACAAGTTGAACCTGGACGAAGCTTCCTACTGTCGTTTTTTCTGACACCAGAGCTCAATGCAAGGCCTTGTCCACAGCCTGTTTTACAAATTACATTAACCACGTGGAAGATGTCCTCCCACAAAACCCCAAGATTTTTTGGTCCTATGTAAAAAGCCTCAATAGCTCAACCTCATTCCCCACCTCAATGTCTCTAAATGGAACTACCTCCGATAGTGACCAGTCAGCTGCCGAGTAATAGCTTGGGGAACCAGGAGAAGTATGTAGCAAATATGCTACATATTTCTCCTCAGTGTTTGCCCAGGATGACGTACCACCTGACTGCTTCACCCCTGTGTCCCAATTAATGGGGTCCCACTCGTTCTACCCTATCCAAGTGCATGAAGTCCGCCAAGCAATTTTAAACATTGATGCAAACAAAGGTTGCGGTCCCGATTCCATCCCGCCGGCTGTTGCAAAGCACTGCCGCCGCCTACTGGAGCACCCACTTACCAATCTCTTCAATCTGTCTCTGTCAAATGGTATTTTTCCCGACATCCTTAAACCAAGTCATATAATTCCAGTTCATAAAAAAGGACCTATAAATGACGTCAAGAAGACTTCGAGAAAGTCGTTCTGCCTAGATTCAAGTCCATCATCTTGCCATTCGTCTCCCCCAATCAACACGGCTTCTTGACTGGCCGCTCCTCTTCCACAAACCTGATGATCTTTGCAACAGATATCTTTGATGCGTTTGCCAATCTTCACCAAGTCGATGCAATCCAACTCCATTTTGCGAAGGCTTTCGACTGTGTCAGTCATAGGCTCCTAGTGGAAAAGTTAAGGACCTTCAGCTTTGACGGCTGTTTGATTCGATGGATTCGCAAGACAGAGTCCTACAAGTCAGGTACAACGGTTCATTTTCTCATCACTTTTATGCCACCTCGGGAGTTCCAGGTTCCTTGCTTGGTCCCATACTATTTATCTCGTTTATAAATGATATCACTACAGACCTTCAATGCAGCTTCCAACTATTCGCTGATGATCTTAAGCTCTACCAAACATTTTCATCCATTGATGACCTTGACATTCT